ACGAGTACATGATATTATTATTGAGACAGGGCGGTACTCAAACTTCCAAAGGGCTATAACTTTGTTACTTTAATTTTACCAGAAAAATGGTAAAGGAAAAAAACATTTCTTTTGATCAGATCTACTCACTGTTAAAATAAATGACTCAACTTCGAAGTCACCCTGTATATTTGCAATAGAGAAATACAGGGCGGACCATGGAAGGCCATCATAACAAATAAACAGATATTTTGTAAACACACTGATAGATTTATCGCAAGATGTTTATCGTTTCCTTAGCTTTAAGACAACTTGGTCTGTTCTACTAGCACCAGATCTTTAGCAGCTTGAGTTGTGAAATTTTGGGAACCACAAAGCTTCTTTGGGTAATATCATCCAGAGACATTTGATCACCATATTTGCTGGTCCCAAACCTCATTTTGAAGAATAAGGTGTATGTTAAAAAGACAAGCCGAAGAGCAATATTCGAGATGCTATTTAAAACTTTTCCAAAAGTGATGGGAAACTACATCAAGACGGCTAAGATTTGTTCTGCTCGGTATATAAGGTGTTGCGAGGTTATTGTTCTTCAAACACAAAATGTAATACAAGTAATTACGTCTTTAAGTCTTAATTTGTCAAACTGAGCACATCAATCATCTGCTCGAACCTTGGACGTTGGAAAAATGACGTGTATTTTTGTGTTATTCATACTGGCTTCTCGTATTACAAATAATTTACTGCTGGCTCTTTGACCTTTGGCAGTCACCGTTTTATTATATCTTTGAGGAATTCTTGATGAAATCCTGCAATAAGACATTAAAGCTGCTGTAATTAAATGTCTACCCTAACGAATTTACGGTGTTTACGTTACATTGTTATAAACACAGGTAAGCCATTACTTTAGAATAAGATTACAAAGAGTACAAAAATTTGTGTTGTTTGTTTATATACGCATACTGTATCGAGGATCTTCTTCAATTAATGTTTTAGTACAGGGTTTGTCCGGAAAGTAATAGGACTGAGTCGATTTAAAAAAATTCATTGAGCCAATCGTTACAATTCTTTAAAAACTTTCAAAATAGGCTCATTCTGCGTCGATGCAGCGCTGACAGCACGATTTCCAAGCATTGAAGGCGTCACGGAAGGCATTCTCTGGAATAGCCTTGAGAGCCGCGGTGCATGCTGCTTGGATCCCCTCTGTCGTCTCAAAATGCTTGCCTTTCATCGGCCTTTTCAGGCGAGGAAACAAAAAAAAGTCCGGGGGGCCACATCTGGGCTGTAGGGCGGCTGCGGAAGCGTTGGGATGCCGGCCTTAGTCAGGTAGCTTTTCACAAGAAAGGCGGTGTGAGCCGGGGCGTTGTCGTGGTGCAACTTCCAGTCGGCTGCGATGTCTTGTCGGACCCGACTGATCCTTCGTTTGAGTCTCCTAAGTACTTCCACGTAAAACTTGGCGTTGACGGTTTGTTCAGGAGGAACAGATTCATGGTAGACGATGCTTTTGATGTCAAAAAAGACAATGAGCATCGTTTTCACTTTGGATTTGCTTATTTTTCCATTTTTTTGAGCGAGAAGACGCCGTCGTGTGCCACTCGGAAGATTGCCCCTTTGTCTCGGGATCATAGTCAAAGATACACGACTCGTCACCTGTGATTACGTTATTCTAAAATTGGGGGTCACTTTCACACATGTTTCAATTTTCTTGGCACACTTCCACTCGCCGCGATTTCTGGTCGTCAGTGAGCACTTTTGGGACCATCTTCGCGCATGTTCAAATACTGTGTCACAATGTCATGAACCACAGATTTTGGTAAATTTAACATCTGGGCAATTGAACGAATACTTAGTCGACGGTCTGAGTTCAAAACTTTGCGCACACGAGTCACATTATCGGTGTTTGTCGAAGTCGAAGGTCTTCCAGCAGCAGCGACCTCTTCCCGGCCCCCCAAAAAGGCCTGCTGCCACCGAAACACACCACTTCTTGCTAAAGCAACACCTGGGTAAGCCTGCTTGACCATATCAAACGTCTCTGTCGCAGATTTACCGAGTTTCACACAGAATTTAATCGCGTACCTCTGCTCTAACGAACGCTGCATTTTCGGCTTGCACCACTCACAGAAACACGTCGCGCGAAAATGCCTGTCCTGACTCTCCAAGTGCTCGGAGACAACTGACCAGCCGCTCATTCGTTAGCTAGGAACGCCCTCTACCGAATCCAGTCGGTGCGCGCATGCTCCGAAGTACAGTCATGACGGAAGAAAATGAGTCCTATTACTCTCCACTAGATGCACGGACCTGGGTTGGTCTGTCAAGGAAAGGCCACCACTGCGGAATCTTTGGAACCACCGCTTTGCTGTTGCATTGGAGACTGCATGTTGAGCTACCCCTTGGCATATTTTAGGTGCAGCTTCTGCAGAAGAATGCTCAGATTGATACTCATATAGATAGATAGATAGATAGATAGATGGATCTTTATTTCCAACAGGTACAATCACCCAATTACACGAAATAGTTCAAAAAGAAAACAAGAGCAACACATAATCCTAGTATATAAGAAAAAACACAATTAAATTAATAATACAGCTAGATCAAAAAGGCAAAATATTAAAAAAAAATAATAACTCCAACCGCAAGAAGGCCATTACATGCCATGGGAAATGGCCAGATAGCGTTGTTTAGAGTCATTTCTAGATGAAGTATTTACATCACAATATTCACCTAAAGAATTGAAGTTCTCACACATAACTTATTTTTTAACTTTTTCGCCGCTTTAAGAACATCAGCTTCACATATTTGAGGTAAATCTATAAACAAGGAGTTTCCATAATCCAGGATTACATTTTCACTAAGGTTTTGATCAGGAGGTGTATAAACTGTCGAAAAATACTGTTTAAATGAGTCAACAATATCTTGGGGTTTTGTTAAGGTAGTTTCATTATATTTCATCATACCAGGTAAACGGGATATTCCATTTTTACTGTGGATAAAATTCCAAAACTGAGAAGGATCTGATAAAATATTGTTTTCTGCTGACAAAATAAAATTACGATATTCGTTGTCAGCTTGAGTTTTTATCGTCCTTCTTAAAGAATCAAATCTTGTACGAGATGCTTCATCTCCATATATTTTGTAGTTTTTATGTACTCGTTATTTTTCTTTTCTTCTATTTATCGTGTCTGTCTCCAATCAATAGTCGACAGTATTTCGTACATAAGGACAAAGATTGCTTTGAGGAAATTGGAAACAGTTTCAGCTTTGTTGGGACTAAAGTTAATGGTTCTGGTAATTCTAGTGCTAATAGTGAATTGTAATGCAGGATTATGTCTGTCTTCATATACAAGTGGTGTATCACTTCTTTCAATTCGACATTCACTATTACTGAAAACGAGGTCTAAGTATCTATTGTTATAATTTGGTATAATGTTATAATTTTGGAACTCAAACATTTCAGCGAAGCTCTTTACTATTATACATTTCGAGTCGTTATCATCATAGCCATACATAGGGATGTTGAAATCACCAGCAGTTATAGTCGAGCTGTTATGACTTGAATTGAAAAGAGAAAAATTGTCAAAGAATATTTCAAAGTCCTCAAGCGAAATATCCGGGGGGATGTAAACAGCATATATATATATATATATATAGTATGAAACCCTAAATGAAGTTTACCACCGACTAAATCAATCTTAGGACTACTTAACTGAATACCATCCAAATCAAGAGGCTCAAAAAAATAACAATTTTTGACAGCAATGAGTACCCCACCTCCTTTGGATAAACGGGTATCTGCAAAATTTCTGTCCTTCCTAAATGTATTCAGTAGGAAAAACTTCGGCATTAAAAACTCCTTCATTCAACCATGTCTCAGAAAGAAAAATTATATCAAAATTACAATTCAGGCTTAAATTATTATAAAAAATTGAAGTTTTAGAGTTAAGTCCGTTAACGTTTTGGTAATAGCAGTTTATTTCACTAACATAATTGGGTGTAGAATCTAAAAATTCACTATCTTCGGAACGCCGCCAACATATTTAATCTTCAAATTGGTTTCTCCTTTATTTTTCCTTTCCTCCAGTTCAGATTTGAGAGTCTTATAGAAATTCATTTGACGTGGCGTTTTGTCAGTAGAGATGGAAATTTGTTTGAATTCACTAGAGTTTCTCAACGACGGACATTTTTTTATCAGTTCACTCACCTGTTCGACATTAGCAAGCGTAACTTTTATGGGCCTTCCAATTGTCCTATTTTCATCAAATTTGCCAAGTCGTCTAATGTTTGTAACCGTAATTGAAGGTGTGACGTGGGTCAAGACTTTAACGACTTCAGACTTTTCTAAAACTGCCTTATCATCTTTTGTCGCTCCATCCTGCTCCTTCAACCCAAAAATGATTACATTGCATCTTCTATTTTGTCTTTCTGACACTTCTTGTACAATATCCTCAAACTGGCTATCAGACATCTTTGTATCGTTATTTTTTGTTGACAACGCTTTTACCTCATTTTGTAGAGCTACAATAGCTGCTTTCAAGGCATTTATATCTCCTCCCATCTGCTCACATTTCCCACAGGTCCATGAGACTGATTTTTTGAGTTTATGAGTCGCGTTTTGTTGACAGATTGACGCATACATCGTGAAAGCTTTTTCTGCAGACACAACAGGATAACAATAGATGAGTATCAACTACCTTCGAGCAGCAGCTGCACGTTTGCGACATGTTCAAACATTAAATGGTACGCCTCTGTATATGTAATCGAGGTTATGGCATATCACAGCCGAATTAATCAGGACATAATCAATTAGCTAATGTTTATGCCGTAGTTTCCTTACCAACCTCTTCCAGTATGACCCAATGGCACAATCCTCAGAAAGAATTAGCAATTTCAGCCACAAAAACTCTTGAAAAATACTACAAACACTGTAAGAAATATAGGCGTGTCGTCTTGTCGACAGTCTTTCTACTACTGTAGAAACACTGTCGACTCATGTTCGACATGGACATTAATAACAGAGAGAAAATGTGTTAGGAAGGGATAGAAGGCGGCTGGATAGCGAAGCTCATCACCGCGTTGCCTAGCAATGTTGACGGGGCAATCTGCAGCATTGCCAATATGTTCCACCAGTTCCTTGAACTCAGATGCATGTTGAAAATATACGTTAGTTTATTCTTGATTATTGTAGAACTTTCGCCCTTCATCAGGCTTGTATCTGTTTTTATATGTGTTGATTCACACTTCTCTGGCTTGTCTCTCGTACACATTGAACTCAAGCCGTCAGACAAAATTGGTTTTCCCTGTATATAATATTCTCTGCTAGACGGGTTTTCAGATTACTAAATCCTCAAAATAACAAAGTGTCAAAGGATTGAAACGCTATTATAGTATACTTAATCAAACCATTTGTCCGGTACATAATTCTGCAAATGTGAGGATTCTGATTACTAATCGGCATAACTTAACGGTATATTAGTGGCGAGGCAATCAAAAAGCAATTATAATAAATTAATATTGATCGTTAAGCACGGATTTATGATCGATTCTTTACGGCTCCGTGTTTTCGCAGAACGAAATTGAACGTAAACAGTACGAGAATCTCTTGTGACGAGACATGAAAGACTGACTCGATTTGTTTGTAAATTATTATAAGTGACCTTTGTATCGGATGTATGATCAATTATTTCAATGTCAATGAAGAAGACTAGGAAACGTTAATGCCGCGGGCGAAGTTATCGCAGAAGGTGCTTTTGTAGAGACTGGTAGAATAAAATCAATTAGCGCGTTCAGACAATACAAAGCGAACCAAAAAAAATTATTAAGAACCATGTGACTGCTAACAATTTCAATTACTTTAGTTGATTCCTAAAACAGTTTACTTGAATCTAGGAAACTAGTTTAGCTAAGCTAAAACGCAATTGTTTAATTAAATTTGTTAAGCCGTTTGCATAGATTGATTACACCAGTTTATTTAGAATTAATGAGCTATTCAAATGTGATTACTTGCTTCAAGTCAAAGATTTTAATTGTATTTATTACATTTGTGTAATTAGTTTAGGTAAAATTATATCTTTAATGAATTATTTTATTTGGATTTAAAAGGATATTTGGGCGATATTTGGAGTTTTAAAAACAAATTGCATTTTACTGAATGATGTAATTATTACTGTGCTCTGAAAAAAATTGGAGAATTTGATATCGATAACTGATGTTTTCAATTCAAAATTAATTCTTCCATATTTTATAACCTGAACATAATTCGCTGGTTGAATGCCAACTTATTATATATGGGATCAAGTTTTTCCAACTTTTGTCCTGAAACAGGTTATAGGTTATAATAAATATCACCATTCACTAGAAACAATGATTTGTTTTAAATTCAGAATGGAATGGCGTCGAAAAAAAGCCAAAAAAAGGAAAAGAAAATTGATGTTTTAAAGGTTCCTGACCATTTTATAAAAAAAGGTAAGGGTTGAAAATTGGGGATTGGGGTTATTGAAGTGTTGTAAAAGTTATGTTTATAGGATGAGTGTTCTATCATTGAGAAGCTTCTGATCCCGGTAGCAACGAGTAAATTGAATGATGAAAATCCGATGCATATATAACGAAAAGCTCTAAGGGTAATTTTAAGGAGTCTTTAGTTAACAAATGTTTATACTATGTGAATGACTTTATCTCCATCTAGTCAATTATTTATATTTTATTTATACTAGTTTTGTGAGTGTGCTTTAGCTTTGTTTTTAATATGTATCTATATGTCATTTATTGCATCTCTCTGATTTGTGTATGCATTTTTCTTGCTTTTAATGTGTTGATATACAGGGTGGCGCATCGAAAACGAAACAGACGCATTTACTGGCAGCTCAGTTTTTTTTTGAAAAACGCTCAGACCCCTCGATTTTGTTTTCGATGGGGACACAAGTTTGGAAGAAAATCACGTTAGCCCGTGCAGCCCCCTAAGCGGGGGTGACACCACTCCCAAAATCTTAAATTTAAAGGGGGGTCGAGTGATACCTCATTTTAAAGGTCTTTATCTGATGTACCTATGAAAGACCTTTAAAATAAGATATCACTCGACCCCCCTTTCCATTTAAGATTTTGGGGTTGGTGTCACCCCCGCTTAGGTTGCACGTGCTAACGTGATTTTTTGCCAAACTTGTGTCCCCCTCGAAAACAAACTCGACGGGTCTGAGAGTTTTTCCAAAAAAAGACTGAGCTGCTAGTAATTGCGTCTGTTTCGTTTTCGATGCGCCACGCTGTATGTTATTTTTACAGATCCCTGTATGTACAAATGGCGAATCCTATACGAATGCTGTTTGTTTGATGAATAACAAATATATTGTAACACACTGTACAGTAGCAACAAAGACAAATTAACTGTCACCTGGAAGAAAGATAAAAATAACATATACTGTGATTCCGAGATTCTTACTTATAAAAGGCCATCAAGGTGACCGAAACATGAGTAAATCTACAACTCTACATCTTACTAGTGAAACAAGTATAGTCATACGATAACTTATTTCAGTTTATAGTATATTTGCTATCACTTCTGCGTGTGTGCAGTAAAATGAAAGTATTGCTAAATAAGCTATCGTTAATACTGAATAAAAAAATCGGCAATTCTCAGCACCTTTTGATTTAGCCCACAAGGCGTTGAATGCTGCTAAAATAATTATTTTGAACGTGGTGTTTTGGAAGAAATGTTATGATGCTCGTGATTTATTCAGCATAATAATACACTTTGCTAAGGTTTCGGATTGCTCAAATTGTCATTTGGTTAGAAATCATCTAAAATGCACGACGTGAACGCATGAGTTTATAATGGATGATCATTACAAATGATGTGATACTGACATAACAGAAAGTATACAGGTTCAAGAGAAGTAGATTCACTTGCCGAAAAAGCAAAGCCTCAGCAAAGCGGTCACTTCTGCCAAAGACCACCCGTAATTATTAGTGCCTATCAATATGTTTAAACAACTTTTTGAAATAAACTATACTTTTTGATCCCGACCAGTTTTTTTGACTTTTTGGGTGATTCAGAACAACAAAAAATGTCCAACATTTTCTCTAAATTTGTTCGAGTAATATGCAGTTTTAAGCCCGATGAAAAACCATAAACATGTGCATTTTCAGTGCTTGGAAGCGTGGTTAAAATCTGTTAATTTTGATATTTCCAAGTGTCTTGATTAAAATTCAGATCTTCCCCTACAAAACTTTGGAATGTTTTTTAGGTTATGTTTATTCTAAAAAGATTAACTGCCTTTAACTTTAACTGCCCATAGCGCGTTTTCCCTAATTGAGAAAGTAAATAAGTAAGTAAGTAATTAAGTAATAATGCTTGCAAACAAACCAAGCCTAAAATACTCGAAGTCTTGTAGAGGAAAGTTTGAGTTTTGAATTATATACTTGGCGATCTCACAAATAATATCTTTTAACAGAATTTTGTTCTGAGCAAAAAACAAGTTCTCAAGATTTGATTGAAGAATGATTAAGCAAAAAGTGCACTGGGTTACTGCTCAGCAACCTCTTGATTCATATTAAGGGCTATCCAACATGCTTAAATAGGTTTGATTTGATTTAACCGCAGAGTTATCTTACTACTCGTGAATCTGTATATTTTGACATAACATCGATGATTACCCAGGGCTCAATCAAAGAGAAAATATGCTGAAACGTAACTGTCTATTATGATCCGACATATCTTCCTGCCTCTAAGTTTTATAGTGGCACTATAGATAAGAATACTGAATGAGTTTGCTAAGCGAAATGAAATAGGTACGGGGTGTACCCGCTATAAGTTGATTTCAGAATTTTTCAAATGACCATTTAAAAAAATTAAAAAGGTTGTATGTAATATTACATTTTCCAGACAATGCCGTTTTTCAGTGTTGTCGAACAAGGTTGTATGTATGTATAAATTAAACACCCAGTATATTTTTAGTGGAGATGGTAGTCGTCTTTTTTTATTCTAAATATGTATATCTGTTTTAATCTGCTTATTTCAATGATAATAATAATTTTCTGATATTAATTCAGAGACGATGTGACAGGTCAATATGTACTAGGAGAATGTTTAGAAAACAACACATGAGACTTGAATGACGCATAATTACTACAAAACAAATTAAAAAAGAAAACAAAAAATGTCCTCATGAGATGAAGTTTAGCAAGAGCTTCTGTTGCACTGTGCTCAAATCTGATAGCACACCGATTTTTAGAACACAATAGGAAAAACCACCTGAAGGGAGATCACATGTTCTTCTGTCTCCCTTCCGAACCATGCGCCTCCAGTGTTGCCGGATTGAACGCTACGTTGATAGTCTCATCACTTAAATTACAGACCTCGTATATCAGCAGATTAAAAAAAATAGTTCCATAGAAGTTTGTGCCAACTCTCGATTTTTATATTGAGACAAATGTTTCTAATTCGTGTAGCGTAATAATAATACTCGTAATAATAATATTTATTCGCCAAAATACAAAATTGCTTAAATACGGGCAAAGAAGTATGAAAAATCAACAGCAGGCATCGCCTGTGTGTGGATTATATCTTACGAATACAAAAATTATATGTGTATAATAAAATAAGTAGTAAGTTCCAAAGAATATTTATAAAATATGAATTTTGCTGTTTCAGTTCTCAATATATTATGTATAGTACAAACCCAGTCTTTTAATTTTCGTCTATTTTTTTTCCAAAAAATAGGCGCCTTTATTTCGTTTTGTATAACATAATTTAATTTAGCAGCTAAGAATTTAAATGATTTTTTGAATGTTTTGTTTGGTCTTTGGATATTAGATGAGCCTATTAAATCGTGTGTCATGCTCGTGCTTATGGGAATTTTGTTCATTACAATGCTTATGAAATATTAAGTTGTCTAGTATCAAGAATATCTGTTTTCCTGATATAAGATGCTCAGAGGACATAATCTTGGCTTATGGAAAATGGCTTTTAAAACAGTTTTTTATGCTATGGCTATCACGACGACTCGGGAAGGTACTAATATTACTTTTCACATATACTTTTGTCAAAAACCTAATTTATACGTGTCATTTAATCGTATGCATCTGGCTCTAAGGCCCGTATCGTCAGTCGTCCCTATAATTGTAGGGCGCGTTTATGGCCTCCTTGATTGTCATCCTCCTTTCTCTCCTTCAAAAATT